GTGTGTGTGTGTGTGTGTGTGTGTGTGTGTGTGTGTGTGTGTGAAGGTTTGTGAGCGTGTGTATGTATGTTGGTGTGAGTGTGTGATGGTGCATGTGTGTGTTTGTGTTTTTGTGTGTGTTTGTGTGCATGTGTTTGCGTGTCGTGCGTATGATTGTGTATGTGTGTGTTTGAGTGTTTTTGTTTGTGTGTGTGTATGTGTATGTGCGCGTGATTGTGTGTTTGTGTGTGTGCGTGTTTATGTGTGTGTTTGTTTGTGTATGTGAATGTGTGTTTTTTTGTGTGTGTGTGATTGTGTTTGTGTGTTTTTGTTTGTGAGTGTGATTGTGTTTGAGTGGGTGATTGTGTTTGTGTGTTTGTGTGTGTGTGTGTGTGTGTGAGTGTGTGTGTGTGTGTGTGTGTGTGTGTGATTGTGTGTGTAAATGTTTATGTGTGTGTTTGTTTGAGTGTGTGTAAGTGTGTGTGTGTGTATGTGTGTGTTTGTGTGTGTAAGGGATTGTGTGTGTGTGTTTACGGGTGTGTTTGTTTGTGTATGTATGTGATTTGTGTGTGTATGATTGTGTGTTTGAGTGTGTGTGTGTGTGTTTGTGTGTGTTTGTGTGTGTTTGTTTGTTTGTGTGTGATTGTGTGTTTGTGTTTGTGTGTGTGTGTGTGATTATGTATGTGTTTGTGTGTGTGTGATTGTGTGTGTGAGTGTTTGTGTGTGTGTTTGTGTGTATATGATTGTGTGTTTGCATTTGTGTGTGTTTGTTTGTTTGTTTGTGTGTGTGTGTGTGTGTGTGTGTGTGTGTGTGTGTGTGTGTGTGTGTGTGTGTGTGTGTGTGTGTGTGTAAGGGGTGGAGAAAAAAAGAGGGGGTTGGGGAAGAGATTGGCAGCATGAAACTAGCAAAGTTTGGATTTAGCTTCGAGTATTTTCAACACCAATGTTTAATATTGTTTAGATCTACAGGTTTTCGGAAGCTTCCCACAGGTTTGTGTTTTTTTCAGCTCGAACAGAGGCAGTAGACTGGCGTCTGTGGTGTAGCAGTGAGGAGCTTTGCCATTGCACGCAGGAGACACTAGTTCGATTACCAAGTGGGGGGGCTTTATATCGATTGATACCTTAGAATTATAAAGTTCTACGTGACCTTTTTTAGCCGTCTCGAGTTACTAAGACCATGGGGTCAGAAACTAAAACACTCTATCTGTTCTGTCGTAAGATTATTCGGAGTCGTTATCAAGGTATTCAAACAACTGCACTCGCAAAATCTTGGAATATTGTTGTGAAACTCAACATATTTTTACGTTAACTTTCTCAAAACTACGTACTGAGCACATATAACTTTGCAGTTCTAGGGTAGAGGAGTATCTCGGTCTTTCTGCTGAGTGTTGTATCCCTCTCAGCCCGGATTGGCACTGACAGGCAGGGTCGAAAGCCCGCTAAATTGTGTCGATGGGGTGTAAAAACACCTCTTTCTTTTAAAAAAAGGAGAACATTGTACCTACATAATGTATTCTTTTCTTGGATTTTTTTCAACATGTCGAATTTGAATCTAAACAATGATATTAGCACATGCAACTGATACAATGAATTAAGAAATCGCAGTAACAAGCATTTGAAAATACAGGGTGATCCCCAAAAAATTAAAACTTTTTTTCTAAATATCTCGCACAAAATTTGTCCTAGAATGTTGTAATTTGAAACAGATTGCGATATACATATAGTTCATTCAAAAACATTTGCCTGACATAAAATTCACGAAGAAGAAACTTGTTTTCGAAAACGAAAATGGCTTTTATAAAAATCTCCTATTTTATGCAAAATGCACCAATTTAATTAAAAGAGCTTGTCAGGAAGGTCATGAAATGATTAGTTTGTTTTTTTCCTTTCCTTTTATTTTAAAAATCTAATCTTTCCATCCCTGTAACCTTTAAACAATATTTCTTTTCTACTACAGAGTTGAGAAAATATTATATATATTTTGGAATTCCGAGAACCAATGGTCTATATGTCCTCCTTTGGACTCCACACATTTTAATGCGTCGTTCGTAATGTTCAGTGGTGGCCAAACACAAGGATCCACTCAACCGTGAGTACTCAAAGCCAAAAAATACTGTACACCTTACAGCATGGAATTGTTTCTAGAGACAATAGGGAGGGGGTGAGGTTGCCCAAATTTAATAGACAGCATTTGTGGAGTTGATATAACCTGAGAGGTGATGGGCTTCGCCAAGGAACCAGACGTCACAGAGGAAATGTTCACGCTTTTCAAGAAGATTGAGGAATCAATGAACACATTGCTATCCTCCGATAGCTTGGCGAAGGGGAAAATGGTACAGTCGAAGATAAAGATCTACCTTGAGAATGCGCACCCTTGAGATGCAGGAAAGTCATTGCTGCAGACATCGTTACGGACAGAGTGTCTCATGGGGCTCATCTACTGAATTCTGCTCCCTGGTAACGCTAAAAGGGGTGCGAGCGGTGTGTGTTTGACCTGAAGTGGTCATTTTGTCAATGAATTTTTAGTTCTGATTTTCTACATGTCCTACCTGATGGACAATTTCCACCCTTGACACCAAAGAAGAACTTAATGGCACTTTAACATTATTTCCGTACCCTGTGCGAAATTTACGAAATGAGTTGGTGGCAGGGGCGAAGGCTGACTTGTTTGACAGGGTAATCAAAGTGAAATGGGACCAGATAGGGCCTGGAGATATCACACTCACACACGTCACAAGAATCTTACTGGCACTGGAGGCGGCAACTCTGAGTTGTGAATGAAAACAAATCCTGAATTCATGTTGTATGCTTGTTCAACCGCTAAAATAATCGGGAAAGTATTTCATTAAATATTTATTCTAACTAACCTTAAATTTAACTTTAGATTTGAACACACGAACACCAAGGAAAGAAGCTCAGATGTCAGCACTACAATGGCATGTTATACCAGACAGCCGAAACACTTTGGTAGATTTGGCTGTTTTTTGTCTAGCTTTTCGCGGCCAGGAGCCGCTGTCATAATTGAGGTCACGATCTGATTATAGGACGTTAAAAAGTCGAGGAAAAAAAACAAGCACTAGCAGTGTAGTAGCAGGCGTCAAAGGATTATTAGGAGTTAGTTCCCCTCACATCTGTGAGGTAGACTCGACCAGTGTAATAGTTCGCTTAGATAATCAGCGCGTCTGGGTGCTTATAACTGTGGCCCGAAAGGGGTGAACAAGGTATATGCGACAATGAAACAGTTCTGACTGCTATGCACATGTTCCCTTCAAATCCATTGGTTGACTCTTCCAGCCTCACTTTAAGCTTACTTAATCAAAGCTTGTGACTGCTTATGGAGTGGCCCGATAGGGGCGAACAGGCTATTTCTGTGGCAATGAAACGGTTTTGAAGGTTAGGCATAGTCTATTGTTCATTGGTGAATATGAACGTCTTTTTACATTTAATTTATGAGGTTTACGTCTATGGGTGAATTTGACTGCGACAATGTTTCAAAATTAGGAAGGGAAGCAGTGATTATTTGATTATATAGACGCTTCGCCCCTGGTTGGTGGTGAGGAAATGTTCAATCCAAAAACACTCTGCTCTTTACTAATCTTAACCATGATCTCAGTAGGCTGGAGAAAAACTATCTGCAAACTTCTGTTGGCCCGTTAGACTACTGTAGTTTGCAAATATGGCTCATTCGTTGGGATTTTTAGTGTTATGCCTAATGCGAACTAGAGCGTCATGCTACAAAAAATGGAGAAATAGCTGAAAATAGGTTGTATTTATGCGCTATGTACAGTAAAACATTGTGTGGATTTATCTAAAATGAATATCAGACAAATACCTTTGGATTTCCAAATGTTGTGTACAAATTTGAAACGCAAAACTTTAGTGTGGAGGAAAATATTATTTTAAAAAGTTGTACATTTAAAAAAATTGGATCACCCTGTATTGGGCAAAGCTCATTAGATATCTACGGTTGGCTGGCGATCAGGCAGGCAGAAGATGCAGCAGATTATGCAGTTAGAAGCCCCCCAAAGAACGTTTTCTGGTTGAACATTCCGAGTTTTGGAACCTCTGTCAAGATCCGAAGGGTTCAAACTGCATTAAACTACTGCTCCTCCTCCTGCTCCTCCTCTTCCTGCTCCTCCTCCTCCTCCTCTTACTACCACCACCACCACCACCACCACTACTACTACTACTACTACTACTACTACTACTACTACTACTACTACTACTACGCCACTGTTGCACCCTACGGCTGATCAGGGCTGATACTATTGTGTTACAAAGATCGACCACGGGAGACTGACCCCGTCAAAGGTGAGGAAGAGGTCAATCCTGGGGTCAGTGGCGTAGGGCAGCTCGAGGAAGCGGCTCCCGTGCAGGCCCATGTAGTAGAGGTAGCGCATCCGCCAGCCGTAGAGCTGAGCCACTCCCGTCAGAACCAGGGCGGACGTTAGAACCGCGAACAGGACTATCGTGGCCACAAACGTGTCTGGGGACCGGGGAGGGGGAGGGGGAAGGGGTAGGGAGGTACAGCAAAGTTAATGTATGTAGGTGCTTTTTTGATTTGTTTTTAGTAAGGCTTTACGGCGCTCGCAACTGCATTAGGTCATATGAGCGCCAAGGGGTGGATGTCAACAATGAGGCTTACACTGCTCACCTCGCTAGCCTCAACAGCATGAAGTCTGCTTAGATTATCAAGGCACCCAGGAAATAGCAGGTCACAAGAGAGTGACAAACATACAAAGGAAGTAGAGGAAAAATAACGACAGTAAGGATGGGGAAAGGGAAAGCAAGTTCCCCCTGCCTATGTTGTTCCACCACAGTATGAGCATGCCATTTGTAAATCAGCCCATTTTTACAATTTTACTGTGGATAAGAACAGGTTAATATCCCCCACTTGGGAATGGCCTAAAGACAATTCAATCAGTAGCACTGCCCTGAGGGTGGGTGGTATGTAGGTGTTTATGAACAACCCCTTGTTGTTGTTATTGTTGTTGTTGTTATTGTTGTTATTGTTGTTTTTGTTGTTGCTGTTGTCGCTGTTGTTGTTGTCGTTGTTGTTGTTGCTGTCATACACAAATCAGAGACACGAATTGGAGCACTACATAGCACATGTATACATCTTGCTGCTTGTCTTTTCAAGTTTTAGATGAAGGAAATACCATACGTATGAATAACGAAAGTTACGTTTCTTTTAGCAGCCCAAAAGGGTGTTTTGTCAAGCGTTCGGTCGAATGACCAAACTGCAAGTCCTCATTGAGTTATAGACGTGCTTGACACACAGGTACCATTAACAGCGGACCTAAGACAACATTCCCACACATTCAAATGCCCCGTGATCACCAGAACTTTAGCAATGCTCCTACACATTTTAAACCATCCCATACCCATTTTCATTTTTCACAGCATGTGTTGTTGTCTGCCTTTTTATGATTCAGTTGCAGAAAATTGAATTTCTAAAATCTGCTAGAAATAAATAGCAAAGTTTCTGCTTCTTATTTAAAGTGTCCCAGAACTGTGCCTCTTCAAGTGTTGTCCAGTGAACCGACTGCGCGGGTGGTTGGCGTGTGTTCTGGTGTGGTTTGCTCCTTCTTCCATATTAAACATATATTGTCCTTATCTCTCCTGCTTTTGTGTTAGTTACTTTCTTGTAATACCTGTAATCTTCGGCACTTATATGACCTTATTGTGTTGCAAGTTACGTAAAACCCTTAGTTAAATTAGACGAACCGACTGCGTGTCGTCAATGAACTAACTATCACACCACGGACTCCTTTCATGACTTGTTATAACATTCACATTAACTGTAATTGTCGTCAAATTATACTCCCTGGTCCGCAGAATCCAGATCATATCACAGAAAGCGAGCTACTTTGACTCTGCCTGTCACGGCCAGCCCGGATTGAGGCAGAGTCGGCATGTCCGAAGACAGACTGAGGTATTGGACAAGCTTTCTCCCCACACAGGAATTGAACTCGTTTCTTCTGCGTGCGAGAGTGACAAAACGTCTAACCGTTAACAATCACATTAAATGCCTAGGTCTCTGTCCTTTCAAGGTATCGTCAGTGTCATTGAATATTGTAGTGTGTCAAAATGTCAGAAAAAAAAAGTCAAGTAGGTTGTTAAGTTTGATCAGGCACATGGATTGACCTTAGACTTAAACCTCTTTTTCAAATAGTAACGAATTTAGACGAATGAAAGATGCTGTATTAACTTATGCTGAAATACAACCGTTTTTCAAAATTTTCCTGATAACCTCGTATTTCGAAACAGGAAAATAATGGAGGACAGCAATGACATACTACCTTGTGAATGGCAACCTTGCCGGATCAGCGCTTGGTCAGCACAGAAGTCAGGGAATTGTTTCAGCTTGTGTCTGTGCCACGCCTGTGGCATAGAGCAGCTGAGCTCGCTGGGATGTACAAATGCCTGGGGTTCGGAGCACAAGAATTGTAGAAACTCCAAGAACTGACAGGAACACGTCAACAGCTGGCCCCTCAAGTCCAGTTGAAATTTGTCAAACGACACAGCCTGAGTCCGCCGTAACAGACGTAGTTGATCAACAGAAGGGGCGGATAACCCGGGAAGCAAATTTTGGGACAGATTGAGCAGCAGCAGACGGGAAGAGTTGCTCAGATTGACTTCAAAAGTCTCCAAGAAGTTACGGGACAGATCCAGAAATCTTAGGTTGGCGTTCCTTGAGATAATGGCAGGGGGCAGAGCTGATATAAGATTTGATCTCATTTCTAAGCGCTCCAGTTTTTCCAAGTACGAGAAAATCCGCCCTTGTTTGTCCAGGTTGAGCACGTGTCCTAGGTAGTTACTGTTCATTAGAAATGTCGTGATGTTTGTGGAGCGGGAGAACAAATCTGGGTTCATAAGGCGAAGGTTATTATTAGAAACATCGAGATATTCAAGGTGGTCAAAGTTTATGAGCGGACCTCCCAGACAAGTGGCGTAGTTGGATGAGAAGTCGATAAGTTTCAATATGTTCGGAGTTTCAATTTTAAGTTCCGGAATCCGGTATGGCAAGTTCATTTGGCTCAAGTTAAGCACTTCTAATCTGGGAGGAAAAGGGAACGCTGCACTAAGAATCGTGACCTCATGGATCTCAGGGTTTTTCTTTACCATACGAGTCCAAGGTCCAGACGGTGTCCAGCTCTGTTCAACGTCTGAGAGTACACTGCGCTCGCGCGGAGTTTCGCGAAGTGAAGAGCTATTTTTATCCTCAACTGACGCATCCGTCATGTTGAATCGAGGACTCCGGGATGTACTGTAGTTTTTTCTTTCCCCGCCAACGGCGTCGTTACTGACCGGTAACTCCTCCCCTTGAGCCTTATCGACGTTTCTGCCGCTGTTTAGATCTCTGGGGTTTTCTGTGGGCAGACGTGTCTCGTAGGCTTCAAGCTCAGCGGCTGACACATCACTGGGTGTATTGGGGAAGCACTTCGATAGTTTCACTGTATTTGAATCCGTTGTATCGTTTCTCGCATGTTTCTGCGAATCTAACCCGCCCCAAGTGTCTTGAGTGTCATCTTGCTTATCTTTCAAACTTGAAACTGAGCTGACGTGTGTCTTTTCGTCATGAAAAGTGAACGGCGTCCTTGATGTTGGACAGTGACATCTGATTGGATTAGCCTGCTGTTGGTTAAACGGATATACCTGAACGTGAGGACATTTATACTGGCCGTTTGCCGATGTGGGAACTGCGTCACCATCCAGGGTCCCTTCTTCTATCCTGCCAGTCTGGGCCCAATGCTGGACGGGTTTGCTTGCATTATGTCTTTCATGAAAATGAAGCTGTGTGCTTAAGTCTAAGGTTTTCAAATTTTTCATACAGCCCAAAAAGAACAAAGCCCCGGCCGCTAGCAAATTGTTATGGGACAAATCCAACTCTTTGAGACCTGCAGGCAAGCAATTAAAAAACAAAGTGTCTAGAGAGTATATCTTGTTATGACTAAAAACCAATCGTGTTAATGGTGTATTGATCAAATTGATAAACAACTGACGGGGTACATGGTAGACTTTTTCGCCCTGCGGCACAATCCAAGGTAATGAAAGCTCTGTCAGGTTGGAGTTTGCCAAACTGGTTGTCGCGTTATAAATACCCTCAAATGTTAGGTATCTGTTCACACTTAAATCAAGAGAAACAATATTTTGAAGGGGCAGAAACAGTTCACGGGGAATGCTTTGTATACTACAAGACTTCATTCGAATTTGTAACGGAGAGGTTGTTGCATTTAAATGACTGAAAAGAGAAGGGTGCACATGGCCCAGTAAACTTGTGCCCTCTGAAAAAAGGAGACTGCTTAATTTTTCCAGGTTTCCAAAACCGGGACCAAACACCACATTTGGGAGTCCGTCTAGGTAAAGTTCCTCCAGATTCCCGAGACTTGATAAGGCTTCGCTGGGGTAATCGTACCTGACCGCATCGTCTCTGGGGTAATCGTACCTGACCACATCGTCCCTGGGGTAATCGTACCTGACCGTTCCGTCTTTAGGGTATTCGTTTCTGACCGTTCTGTCTTTGTGGTCGGACAAAAGGGCTTCGGGCTCATCAAATCGAGCACCGACAGGCTCCAGGAGACTGCCACTTTGACCGTTGCCGGTTGGTCCTTTGAACACACGATTCTCTAAATCACTCTTTGCTACGGCAGAGTCTCTGTCCTTCTCAGGTCGCCAACCAAGGTCACTATCATTCTTAGGTCTCAGGTTAAGGCCACTGTCCTTCTCAGGTTGCCGGTGAAGGCCCCTGTCCTCAGATCTCAGGTTAAAGTCACTGTCCTTCTTAGGGCGCTGATCAAGGTCCTTGTCCGTCTTTGGTCGCCCATCAACGTCACTGTCCGGTTCATGTCTCAGGTCAAGGTCACTGTCATGAAGAAAATGGAAGTCTGCGTCGTTATACTGACGAATTCGTTTCCGTCTAACTGTTGCATTGACGTGATCATTTTTCATTTCGGTATTGTCGTGAGTGTAAACCCTGCCCTCTGCACTCCTGTATAAATCCTCCAAACGGTTGTTATTATCAATGCGCAGATTTTTCAGTGCGCTGAGCCCCGAAAAAGCTCTTGCTCCGAATGTGGCATCGGTGTAGCTCAGCTCATTGGAGCTCAAATCTAGAACCTGAAGTGACATAAGACCGAAAAAAGTGTCGTTGACCAACCTTTGCAACCCACAGTTTGACACGTATAATTGTTTTAAGTTTGATAGACCATGGAAGTTGTAAGGCTTCAGTTTTAGCCGCTTATTTAATGAGAGGTCCAGTGTGGTTAGACCAGTAAAAGACTGGAATGCGCGATGATGAACATCGAAAATGTCATTTTCCGCCAGATTAAGAGCAGTCAGTTTTTCTAAAGGAGCGAAACAGGTCAGAGCTATTTCCGAGACTTGGTTTTGAGACAGATCCAGAATGCTCAGGTCCGGCGTCTGGCGGTAAGTTCTTGAGTCACGTTTTGTATCATGTTATCCCGGAGGATGAGCGTTACAACTGTGCTCGGAAGCAAGGGGTAGCTGTTCAAACCCAACCCAGTGCAGTCCACGAACGTGATAGCACCATCTGAGGTATCGTTACAGAAACAGCGAGGGGGACAACCCACCACGCCATAGCCCCAGGTTGTCTGTCGTAGACCGCTGGGATGAAAAGATCCGGGACCACCGCCCTCTGAGTGTGAGCTGTAGTTGTGTATGTCCTGCACCGCACCAGAAGTTGACCCATCAGAGAAGAACACCCCTGAGAGGCCTTGGGTCGGGTCGGAGTTCTGGAGCACCTCATTGAGGTCTTGAGGGGAAGAAAATCGAGCGCCGTGTTCCGTAAAGTCGGCAGAGCCATCGCACCCTTTGCACACCTTCGATTGAGAACTTGGGTTTTCCCGATCAACAAATCCTTCAGCTTTCTGAGTCGAGACGACATATTGGGTGTTTCCCCACAGGGCTTTCGAAAACCCGCTTTTTACCTTAGTATTATGTGAATGTGTGGGTGGGGGCGCAGAAAACAGCAAGGATGGCCTTGACCTTTCACGTTCAGGCACGTGATTGGTGACTTGTAGACCAGCCGTTTGATCCCGGGCTGGGGGTGTTTTCCGAGTGACGGCGCACAGGACCGTTAGAGAAATGAGCGCTTGTAGAAATAGCTGGAGGATGGTGGCTCGAAGAAACATTGGTAGGGCACGAGCTACAAAAAGTAAACAGAGAACTTAACCTTCTCTTAAAAGGAAGACAAACGTTTGAGATTTTGCGTTCACGCAGCTCTCGTTAGGAGCTCTCAAACACGTAAGACTGGAAGGGAAACAGTTGTGATAATTGTCGTTTCACTTTACAGTACTATCAACGTCGTCTTAACAAAGATGACATATCATTTTACAGTACCATCAATGTACAATGTACGTCATGGGAGGACAATTTCACGAGACACATAAACTATTTAAGGTCGTAGCTTACACAAATATATTAATATATATATATCCAGACCAACAACAGACCAAAGGCAAAGCTGCACCTCATCTTTACCACCAAACACAAATCATAAACACAGATATGTATATTTCACAGCACGCACGTTGTTGCATGCCCTCTAAACTTTCAGATAAAGAAAGCAGAGCTGACAAATCTGTATGAGTGACGAAATCAAGCTTCTAAATTCTGTGTTCAAAGTGTCATAACACATTCTGTGTTCAAAGTGTAATAACACAGCGAATCTTCAAGCGATGTCGCAGGACGCCCGTCCTCTCTGAGCTGAAGCTGTACCACACACGAGCAGATTCCCCAGCCAGCTGAAGCTGTACCACACACGAGCAGATTCCCCAGCCAGCTGAAGCTGTACCACACGTGAGCAGATTCCCCGGCTAGCTGAAGCTGTACCACACGTGAGCAGATTCCCCGGCTAGCTGAAGCTGTACTACACACGAGCCGATTTCTAAGCCAGTCTCGTCTTCACAAAAGAAACATTCCAGATACTTGAGTGACGTACTGGATTCGATAGGGATCTTCTTTCAGCTTTTATAGGCAGCAACAATCCTACAGGTACTTTTCGTCCCCTCGACACACTCGGAAGCCCTGATAAAAAGACAAATCATTAACACTTTTTCGTTAGTCTTATTGTGCGGTAAAATTTTTTGGGAACAACTTATCCTCAAATATTTCTTTAACGGACGAAACAATTTCACCCATACTTTGCACAGCAGTTTGTATCGATTTATCTTAACTGAATCATACTTTCCACAATAAACGGTGCAAGATTAAAAAACGTTTTTTCCCCATAAATTTAAATATAAAATACTATAAATCTCTGTCACGCGGAAAATGGGATTGTTCACAGCACTTCCCTCTTCTCACACACATTTGCTTACGAATATGGCCGACGTCACCGCTCACAAATGACACTTTTTAGAGGCAAACTCGTTACAAGATGGAAGTGTCTGCGTACTCCCCGATTGGGGTCTACGTAGTTATGGTGTCTAGGTGGACCCCAAAAATGTTGGATTGTGATTGGCTCGCTGACCGAGCGGTAGTTTACATTGGTTACAATGCAAGGGTGCTAGGCCTACTTACTGATCATCTCGATCTCGGGTAGTGATTGGATTTATCTTGTGTTACTATAATTAATTTATTTTAGCCTTGAGAGAGAGAGAGAGAGAGAGAGAGAGAGAGAGAGAGAGAGAGAGAGAGGAGGAGAGAGAGAGAGAGTATTTAATGAATAAATGTATCTAGACTCTAGATCTAGATTTTGTTGTGCACCCAGCCAAGAGTGTGTAGTTCGGTCTAGGATTTAGGTCATTTGCCCACCAGGCTACCACTAGATTTAGATTATCTACTTTCCGAACTGCACACTCTTGGCTGGGTGCACAACAAAATCTAGATCTAGATTCTATCGACACACCGCCCGAGATGATCAGTGTAGCCTTGCATTGTAACCAATGTAAACTACCGCTCGCCCAGCGAGCCAATTACAATCCAATATTTTTGGGGTCCACCTAGACTCCCTGACTACGTAGACCCCAATCGGGGAGTACGTAGACACTTCCTTACAAGGAAATACATTTTAAAGTGAGCACATTGTTGCACTAAATGTTCTCAAAACATGCGTTCAATAAGCACTATGCCGCGATTAGAACAAAACGAGGGACTTGCTTTTAAAAGCGATATTGCCCCACCTGTAAAACTTTAAAAATCTGTAGAAATAACTGCTTAGATTTTTTATTAGTATTTATTAAGGAATTTTCTAGGTAGAATACAGCTGATAGGACGTGTTTACAAAAATATTGGACAAATTAATACAAGTCATTGTGCAAAAGCTGGAGAGTCTATGTACGATAGTGTGGTAAATATTCAAAAAAAGATGCGCCACGAATTTATGACCGTACTATAGTGAGCATTTTTATGTCACAAGCAACGCAATAAAGAGGTCATATGAATGACGAAGAATAAAGGCGCTGCAAGAAAGTAACATACACAGAAAAAAAGGAGGAGAGATATAAGGACGAAAGATGTTTGGTGGAAAAGAAAAGGAGCAAACCACACCAGAGCACCCGCAACCACTGTAAACTGGTAAAAGTAACAGAAACATCCAAGAACAGACAACCGTCATTTACTGAAAAGACAAAGAAGGTAGGAGGTGGGGTGGGGTAGAGTGGGTGGTGGGTGTGAAGGAAGGTGTACTACTACTACTACTACTACTACTACTACTACTACTACTACTACTACTACTACTACTACTACTACTACTACTACTACTACTACTACTTACACATTAAAAGCATACACAAAACGCACTCACACACAACACGCTCACACACAACACTGACACACAACACACTCACACGCACACGAAACAAACAAAGAACAACAAACAATCCACATACAAAACTGAACAACAAATTAAAACCACCGCCAAAAATGAATTAGACATTTAACCAAGAAAATACAACTCAGATACAAAACAACTAGGAGCCGAGTCAAGTACAATGAGTCAATCAAGCTCAAGAAGTATTACACAATCCCGTGTAAAGGAGATTTTCCAAACATAAGTTGTCGTATGAGATTGAAAGTTCTGGATAGTACAAGTAACGGTTTGTTGCGGGCCGTGTCTACAACATACTACATGTTGTACATGGTGATCTGCGTATCGTTCGCAAATGACTATTTTACACCGAGAAAAATACATATGAAATACGATCTATCTGCATTTGTTTGACAAACTTTGACGTCCAATACATGTATTTCAAAAGTGCACAAAATTCAGATAGAACCCTTTTACTTGACCGTCGCAAAGTTGATGTCTGGCCGGTCTGACCCCCTTGAGGATAAGCTGAGTGAAAATACTTTCTCCGAGAAACAAAGGAAAAGATGGCGCACGATTTCCCGCATGAAGACAAGCTATGAACACCTACAAGGGTGGTCGCATATATTTTACTACAGTTCTATGTTGGTACCAAATGTTGTAAATAAACCGTTTAAAAAATAGCATAATCTTTTTGAGAATAGTTCTAATAGTACTTGTGAGTTAACATTAATCCGAAACGCTTATATTAATTTTGCATGTTTATTCACTTGTGGTTTGTGTTAAGATAATGGTATTGAAAATAATAATAATCATCATCATTCTTCTTGTTCTTTTTGTTCTTCTTGTTCTTGTTCTTCTTGTTCTTGTTCTTCTTGTTCTTGTTCTTCTTGTTCTTGCTCTTGTTCGATGACAGTGATGACAATAATATGCTCTTCTACCGTACAGTCTCCCCTCGATATGAGCCTACCTTTCCAAGCAGCATTGACAAAGTTCTTCTCGCCAACACACCATAGCACGGGTTTCAAAGCTTTCACCCGTGTCTTATCCCCATTTGGCTCTGTCTTATCGGAGACGGACTTATAAATTCGGGTGGTTCTGCCTCTCAAATAACCTAACAGTGTTGATAGGGCCGTTAAATTCATACACTTACTCACTTACCTGAGACGTATGACTTGGAGCGATTTCTCCTATAGCAAAATATAACACAGTGCACCCTTGTTGACATAATAATATTAGTATTGCTGCAAGGGCTGGCGTGTAACGACCTTGACAGAAACTGTTACACATTGCTGAACAACGAGACAAGCTTCGCTGAACAACCAAACAGCCAAGATAGACCCTTGATCGCAGGACAGCTAGGAGGTCATAA